AAAAAAATCAAAATGAAAAGTTGGGTTAACCATGGGGTAATTTTGGAAAAAATAAAAAAGGCGGGTTGATCGACCTTCTTTGTAATTTTCGCATATAAGTAGAGCATTTTGTATTTTACCTAAAATTTTAGGGTCCGTACATAAATCACTCTTAAAAAAACATTTCTCTTAAAAATAAATTACCAAAATGCCCCTAAAACTTTTATGGGTATTCTAATAATTTTTTGCCAAAGGAAATATTTTTTTAACTATTATTTTTATCGTGTGTGCCCTCTTTCATTTTTGTGCATGCCCCAACATGTGCATGCCTCAAATTTCGGTGCAGAATGATTTATAGAACAAAAGAGTAAAAATAATATACTATAAGTCGTCGGATTAAAATCCGATGCTCAAGAGCTAAATTGTGACATTATGATTCAAGTCATCCCAACCATCTAGTCAAATTTGATGGCTGAGAATAGGTGTCACATATGCTCTATATATGTAAATTTGGTCACATGTAACGCTTTCTCCTTTTTCCCAAGGGAACTATACGATAAGACCACTTTCCTTGTGTTCACAAGTTATCTTTCAGGTGTCAATAGGTTAGATCGACTTATACCCATCGAGTCAAGTCCGTATCAAATGGGATAGTGTAAGACCATTTATCTTTGTTACAAAGAGGTTACAATTACTCTAAGTCATTGGATGTCAAACTGGATTATTTGGATGCATTAGAAACTTTGAGATTCTTTTTTGCTCATTAATTTTGAGTCTAGTCAATAGCATGCTCACAACCTCCCGATTTAAAATTTGCCGGACAAGAGTGATATGTGACCTACTTGTATTAAAAGTAAATAGTCTCTTTGTATACTTTTCTATATCAAATTATAAATATAAGATATATATATTATGTAGTATATAACATAATTGGGATAAAACTCAGATGATGATGACTATATAATATATAAATATATTTATACTATAAAATACAATGCATATATTCTATATATATGAATATAACGGGCAACCTTGGAGGTCAAGGCTGAACCTAAAAAAAAAAAAACACCAAAAAAGAAAAGAAGAGTCGAGAACTATCTAAATTCCGACTCAGGTCTCCTCATCGTGGTGCAATCACCACGCGTAGCCTTTTTTTTTTTTTACCGAGCCCAGCCTTTATAAGTAAAATTGTAGGGCTAAGGTGTGTTATTTATGTACAAGGTTCAAAAAAAAAAATTCTCTTGGACTTTAAACTATGTCAGTGGCACACCCTAAACTATCCAATTTCAACCGGTAATTATAACCTTATCGTGCCAAAAACAAATAAGATTAAAATATACAGCCTATCTCCTTTCCTTGCATCATTGAAAAACAACACTTATGCATGAGATGCCCAAAGAAAACATGAAAGAACTAAAGTTTGGACATCCTAAAGGCTAAAACTGAAAATATAATTAACGGGTCTGATTCATGCTTTTCTGGTATAGTGGATCTACAGTTATTTACTTGTTTGATTATTACAAAAAGCAAAATTCTTTTCCTAAAAGGATCCAATAACCAAAGAAAGGAAACTTGCTCCAAACAAGAAAAGAAAAGAAATTGAAAATGTCTACAACCAAGACCACTCAATGCTAAACTTTTGGTGAAATCCACCAAATTATTGGGCCTCTAGTAGGAAATCCCAAGCAAATTTAGGTTTGAGCTTCTTTTAAAATTTTGAGGAGACAAATAAAGTTCCTAATGTGTGGGATTGGTATTATGAGATATTAATAGAGAGGCATGTATATTGCCAAAAATAATGATCTAAAACTAAGTGGGCGAGAGAAGTGAAGGAAAAAATCAAGTTAGGATGAGAGAGAGAGAGAGAACCATCTCTATGGGAGTCTTGAATTGATTGTAAGTGAGATAAATAAACTGGATTAGCTTGAATCAGCTCCAGTGACGGGATTTATGTAATGGTGGCTATGTACTTGGAACCGACAATCGACTCAAATTTGGGTGTGGTCTAAAATTTGGAGCCAGCACAGGTTCAAATATTGGACCCAAACACTCTTTGGATTCGAGTCCGGGGACCTGATCCAAATAGTGTTATTATTTAAATAACATTTAATATATAATATTTTTAAATTATCATATTTAAATAACATATGTATATATTTAATATAATATTTAAATATGTATTTTTTTTTTTTAAGTCGGATCCAGTCCGGTCATGCGAGTCCCATAACGTTTTTTTCAGGTCCGGGAACCGACCATTTGCCGCCCTTGTTTTTATGTATTTGAGAGAGATTCCCCTCGACCGATCACCCAACCATAGAATGGCAGGCGGGAACGTTTGAAATGGAAGTAAATAAAGATGAGACAATGATTCTAATTGCGAAGAAACCCAGAAGAATGCATGCATTAACTCCCTCGGCCAAAGAGTCACTAGATGATAATTTTTAAGAAGCAGAAAAAACAATATATTTAGAATTTTTCAACACCAAGATCTTGCCTTCCAAAATTTGCACGGTCCAATATTCATCATGGAACATTAGTTTTCTATCTGTTTTTGAGTGAGTTAAAAAGAAGATATCCCCTAATTTGGGGTTCTTAATATAGTCCTAGCTTCGATTTTTACCCAAGGAAGCAAATAGATAATATGCTGGGGCAACATCAAATCTGTTCACAAAACATAGATAAAAAATAAAAACATAGCCTAGCCTGACGCCGTGTTTATAAATGAATAAAACAAAACTGATTTTTTCCATTGCAAAAAAGAACCGCAAGTTGCCGGGTATGTTGAAAATTTGTGGGTTAATTGGTTAAAATTTTACTGCAGCATACATTAATCCAATTCAAAGAGGAAGAGAGAGAGATAGAAATAAAAATTAAAGTCAATTCACTATTTTACAACTTTACAATAAGTCGATTGTGCTACATCATGAAGTAAAGAAAGAGAAAGAAAATCAAAAAATCTAGAATGTCAAATGGTTGCTTCTGAAAAATTACAGTTTTTTTAGCAAGGACATCAACTACCATATTAGCCTCGCGAAAAATATCACAAATCGATCATGAACAGTTGAGTTTATATTGGCAGTTATAGAGATTGTGCGAAGCGCCCATGGAGATTTACCGCGACCACGTGTGGCCGGTATAAGAAGTGAGGAGTTACTTTCAATTTGAAGGGGAAAACGATCCATTTGGATAGCCAAATAGACTCCCACTTCCTGGGCATGGAATTCGGCATGCAACACCAAGGGAAAATAGACTCCCACTTCCGGGGCATGGAATTCGGCATGCAACACCAAAGGGAAAATAGACTCCCACTTCCGGGGCATGGAATTCGGCATGCGACACCAAAGGAAATGGCGAAGGCAGCAAAGAAAGACCCATCATCCTTTCCTTTCGAATGACTCCCCCATAGCCTGCTATTCCTAGATTATGAGGAAAAGACCCCTCAA